ATCCTCCGGCGAACCCGCAAAGGGGCCGCACCGGGGCCGTCCGGTCTCACTGCAGAGACGTTGCGGCTCCTACTGGATGACGAAGGCAGCACAAACACATTTGTCCAAGTTGCGCAGCAGCTCGGGACGCATTGTGGCATTGCAAAAGCCAAACGGTCGGGTCCGGGGAATCGTCATAGGCGACATCCTTCGCAGAGTCGTGTCGCGCAGCATCGCCCAACACTTCGCTTCCCCAATCCACCTAGCTTGTTCCCCACACAAGCCATTGTGCACGGCATCACCGTCGCGACCCAGGCCGATCCCCACCTGACAGTCCTCTCGGTCGATGGCATCGGGGCATACGACACCATCTCCAGAAACAGTATGCTGCGAGGCCTCCACGCCGTGCCTGATGCCAACCAGTGCTTGCCCTTCGTCCGGCTTTTCTACACCGAAGCCTCCCAATATGTGTGGCGTGATGCAACCGGCGAAGCACACACCGTCACTCAAGCCGAAGGCGGAGAACAAGGCGACCCGCTCATGCCAGCCTTGTTCGCGTTGGGTCAGCGATCCGCCTTGCAAGCTGTACAAGAGCACCTCCGACCTGGGGAGCACCTTTTTGCTTTCTTGGACGACATCTGCACACTGGTACAACCAGCCCGTGTCCGCCCAGTCTACGACCTTTTGGAACAGCATCTAAGTGCTACGGCCCATATCCAGCTCCATTGCGGCAAGACCAGAGTTTGGAATGCCTCCGGCGTGCAGCCGCCAGGTTTAACCAGCCTGGGGGCCGACGTGTGGGTCGGGGACCCGGGGTTGCCAGCAGCAGAGAAAGGCATGATCATTTTGGGGGCGCCCTTGGGATCTGACGTTTTCATCGGCCAGCACCTCAACAATCTTTCGGCCACCCATCAAGAGCTCCTGTCTCGTCTCCCAGAATTGCAAGACCTGCAGGCTTCTTGGCTCCTCCTGCTCTTTTGCGCCAGCCCGACCCCACCAATGCATCCCCAGCCATCCAAGCAGCAGTGGCCACTGCGCACGCCCTTCGGATTTGCGATTGGGAACGGGACACCCTCATCGGCCACAACGGGCCACCCCAGCCAACCCCGAGCCAGTGGGCCCCCAGCACCGAGGATGGCAGCAGCCCGCCGCCAAGGCCACCCACCAAGCCTGCAGGGCCGAGGTGTACAGCCACCTGCCCCCAGCCAGCCAAGCCCTTCTAGACTCCCAGTCCGGACCATATGCGAGCAGAGCATTCACCAGCATCCCCTACACCCCTGAGTCCACCTACTCGTCCGAACACTTTCGTTTGCTTATGCTTCGGAGACTCCGTCTGCCCCTCCCCCTTCCACCAGGACTTGTCGATGCCGTCGCACTCTTGACCCAATTGGCGACCATCGATCAGCTTGTGCACAGTCGGGGCTATTGCGCAGTCGCGGCGGGCCACTTGAACGAGCAGCAGCTCGCATTTGTCGTGAGGCCGGGGCCAGGGTGACCACCAACACCCGGGTAGCTGACTTGAACATACCCAATGTCCAAACCCTCGATGACCGCCGTATCGAAGTCATCGCCAATGGTTTGCCTTTGTGGGGGGGGTGCCAAATCGCAGTCGACACCACCCTCCTCTCACCCGGGAGAGCCAACCCAGACATCGCCATGGCCGCTATGCAGGGGCGGCGTTGCACGACGCTCGCCGCAACAAAGAGCGGGTCTATCCAGAGCTCACCCGTGGCGGCCGCTGTCGCCTCGTCGTCCTGGGGATCGAAACCGGAGGATGGTGGAGCGAGGAAGCTTGCACCTTCCTCCACCTCCTGGCACAACACCGGGCACGACGAGCCACACCACTGCTCCGGCAAGCAGTCGCCAACCCAGCCGTCTGTCTCCCCTCCACCTAACCCACCCATTGGACTTTGCGAACCTGGGGACAGGCCAGGATAAAAACTGTCAACACGTCTGGGGACAGGCCAGCATAAAAACTTGCATAACCACTGTCACCCTTAGCCATCGACCGGATGCGCGGAAATTTTTTTTTTGACATTTTTCCTTCAAGATGGTAAAAGGCCAGGAGTGGTACTGCATGAACATTTTCCATTCACACGCTGTTGTGAGTCGTCCTGTTGTTCTGTGTGCCAGAGAATTCTAAAGCTTCACTTCTGCGAACAACACTGCGTAAAATAAAGCTTGGACTTGTATCACCAAGAAACCTTCCAGACATGCAGCAGGAAATAGAGGCACCTCCTTTTGCAGAGCGTTCGGTCATGGAGCTTTGTCGTGAGGCTCTCAGCGGCCGAGCTGCGTACCAAGGCACCACAGACTTGAAGTACCTTCTGGTGCCTTACATGTTGGCAGAGGCAGGTGCCTTGTGGACACCTGTGCCCAAACTGGGCTGCCCAAGTGGGTATACAGGTCTCACTCGCTCACTGACAATGATTGGGGCTCAATCAGTGAGGGAAGTGTTCCATCGAAGCACCAATGCATGCTGCCAATTATCAAGCAACAAAAAGGCATCAGCAATGTGAAATCACCATTGTTGAAAACCAACTCCCAGAATCAAAAGCCGCGTTTTGCCATGGTGGGTGCCTGAGGTATGCGCAGCCCCGTTACATGCTGGCGTTGGCCCCGGCCATGTTTTTTCAAGTGCGGGAAATAAGTGGGACACTCTTTGTGGCTAGGCTGCAGCTGCGTCCTTTGCCCGGGCCTTAGCTGGCGGACAGACTTGTTTGGATACTTTTTCGGCGGGCTTGCTGTGGACATGGCAGATGTGGACCGACTGTGTGTAGCAAGCAGAACGCTTTAGAAAACAACATTTCGGATTATGACCTGGTAGGGGTTAGCTTGCGCAAAAATTCAGCCGAACAAAACACGATCATATGCACAGGAATCCATGGTGATGGCCCCACGCAAAATGCCATCGTGTGCGGCAACCTTGCAGATAAACAATCATTTCCGGAAACCCTTGCCAGTGCTGTGCACCCAACATTTCCCAACGATAAAGGAAAAACCGGATTGTGATTGCAAGTTGTTTGTCTTGCAACCTTCGCCGCACAACAGCTGGAACATGGCAGCGGGCAAACATGAACATGACGAGGACGCCGCCTAAATTTGCTGCAGTGTGTTGAGTGTGCTGTGGTGTTTGCTGTCATGACGGTAAACTATGGCTACCGATGATGCATTTGAGGGCCCAGGTCTTTTGCTTGAGGGGTCGGCAAGTCTTTTGTAGCCAATGGCTTCCCGCAGGAGGCCCGACCCGCTGCAGCAGACATCGCCAACATCGAGGCGTGAGTGAAGTGGCGGCATGTTCATTCATCGGACGAACCATTGCCAGATGCTTGTTTTCCAAGGCGTGTTGCAAAAGGCGAACCGTTAAAGTTGGTGAACTTGCTCCGTATCCGTATCTGTATCTGTATCTGTATGTAAAGTGTGTTAGGAAGTGCCAATCCGTTTGACCCATGACCGCGATGCTTCAGCATTTCACAGGTTGCCTGCGATTCTGATGAGCGCCTTGGTTGTTGAACATGAGCCATGGTCCATTAATCCATTCTTGCCAGCTGGGTTAGGAATAGTTTCAGTTGAACCAGTCAATTTGGGTGTGGTGTTAGTGCTCATAGCCCAAAGGCATGGATCAATGACATTGAGGGGTGACCATCCTACGGCGACCATCAGAACCACTGCAGAAGCATCATTAATCCTTCCAACATCACGTTGGAGAATGTGCTTTCTCGTCCAAATTGGTTCATCTGAACTTGGACTCGACGGCCCGTTCAAAGTTGTAGGTTTGTAGGCGCGAGTCGTGATTGACCAACAGTATGTTGACACGCATTCTTTCACCATTCATGCGCAGCAAAAACGTCATTTGCTCCTCGGTTCGGCAACTTAGATCAACTTAGGCAGTCCTTGGCGCGGAGGTTTTACGAGGTCTTTCGTGGCTACATGGCCGCAGTCCGATCGGAAGGCGACCCGCCCACGCAGAAGGTTTTGGATGATTTGAACCATGGCGGCATTTTTCCCCACTTGGATGAAAAGAACGCAATCCGGAGGTGCTCCCTGAGATGCATGTGGGCAAAAGTGCACAGGTCAGTCTCAAAGTCAAACATGTTTTTCGTCTTTCTTGCCTCTGAACATCCACACCCCCGCCGGATGGGCTTGGCGCGATGGGCCCAGGACGCAGGCGCTGAAACACATCGCAGCGCAGGTGATGCAGCTGCGACTCTTTTCTCCCAATGAGGAGTTGGATGACATCAGTATCTTGGGAAAGTGAGAAATCTGGACTTAGATCATTTTGTGAATTTATTATACACATAATCACACGCCGCCGTTTAGAATCTTACTGGAGGCTCGGATTGCACATTGGCAATTTGCCCGCCGAACGATGGGTCAAACGAACTTTGCAATGGACACCTCTGGGAGCACGTGTGGCAGGATATCCTCGGCATGACTAAACTTCTAAATTTAATGCTTTCTTTACGTATCGTCAAGCCGATGTCTGGCCAAATTTGGCATCAAATTCTGCTCTGTGGATGGGTTTTGAAGAACATTTTGTTTCTTTTTGTGGACGTTGAACTGAGAGGCTATTATTGTACACTACGATGTAGGTTTGCTCTTGTTTTCGGTCACCTGTGCCCAAACTTGGCCGCCCAAGTGGGCATACAGGTCTCACTCACTCATTCACTCACTCACATGTTCACATTTTCACGTCACAAACATGACTTGTTTTCGTAGGATTTGATTTGACATTTTTCCTTGAAGATGGCAAAAGGCCAGGAGTAGTACTGCATGAACATTTTCCTCTCACGCTGTTGTGAGTCCCCTCCTGTAGTTCTGTGTGCCAGAGAATTCTAAAACTTCACTTCTGCGAACAACACTGCGAGACCAAGAAAACTTCCAGACATGCAGCAGAAAATAGAGGCACCTCCTCCTGCACAGCATTCGGTTATGGAGCTTTGTCCCAGAGATGTGAGACTTTCAGCGGCCGAGCTGCCTACCAAGGCACCACAGACTTGAAGTACCTTCTGGTGCCTTACATGTTGGCAGAGGCTGGTGATGGGAACTTCTGTTCTGGAAAGGCATTGTTCTCCAAAAGGATCCTGCAGAGCCATGGGTTTGTTGTGGGGTAGGTTTCTTTTTTGAAGACTTTGAGTCGATTTGGAGTTCAGAGGCCGGAGCGTGTGTTCAGCTGAGGAGGTATTGACAAGGATCCATCACCCTCGCTCGCTTGGTAGTTGTGAAAGGCCACTTGAGTGGGCAGGTTGTGGCTGCCACACGGGAGATGGAGAAGCGGTTGCCAAGCTTGAGAGAGGCCCTCCTGTTTTGGCGTGCCCCGACACTGAAAAATTATTGAAACTTTCTCCATAGCACCTAATGGCATTGGGCCGCCTTCCCGCAAGGCAGGTCCGCTGAAACCGCATCAAACTGAGGTGCTTTTGCAGCAGACTGCCAGCGTTTGGGCGTTGGACATGACGACGATTACGCAGCAGTCGATCGCGAGCAGGCGGACGGTGAGGATTCATCTTCCAGCATCTGAAGTGGGGCTCTGTGCTGTGCAAGCTGGGCATGTATCAAACAAGACCCTGCATAGATTGATTCGCACTTCATGGAAGTGGCGCATAGAAAATAAGCGTGTTTTTGGGTTCCTTCTGGAGCGGATGTTCCATTTCTGAAAGGCGATGAAGCTGCAGGTAATCATGATTTGCCCTGAATCTTAAAGGTAAAAGGTCAGCTCAGACTTTCTTTGGGCTTGCCCTGGTAACTGCAATTGGTGCATGTCAGGAGCCTTCGGATCCTGCATCCAAAAGAGAAGAGAAGATTGCGCGGTACAAGCGTTGTAAAGAGCTGGATCAGAAAGTGTCATATTTGCTCCTGCACCGCATTGAGCATGTGGATGTATGTTAGAATAGGGGAGACCCTTGAACCAATATTGGGTTTAGTTTAGTCATCGCTTTGCCAGGAGGTCGGCCTGTCTGCGCCGGAGGGGGGAGAACAAGTGTATACAATGAGAGATGGGAGGAATCTTTGTACTGTAACAATATGTTTCATTGCTGGTGTTTGCTGCTCACTTTCAAAAATGTGTAAAATGCATCAGGGAATGCAAATGTGGCATCACCTGCATCTACCTCCGATTGGAAAAACTAACGCAACCCAGAAAACATCTTCAATGTATAATCGCAGAAATAACTACAAAACCACAAAGCATTGAAAGACACAAAAGCCAAAGCGCACAAACCAGTTATATTTTTTACGTGTTTTGTTTTTACATGTTTTCGGACACTCTTGGATGCTCCCCCCAAGACACCTAGATTTTTTTGTTTTTAATTATCCAAACAGTGTGGACACACTAGGGGTGTAAGCAGGTGTGCTTATAATTGTGTGTGCCGCACGGGCATGTCCGGCTAACTCCCTGCTATTTACAGCACATTCATGCCTCTCGACATCGTCAATGTGCATTTCAACTGCGCAGGCTCGCAGAATCTGGGGGCCGGCGGCGGCGACTGCGCTCTCCTTGTGGTGCCGTGCGCATTTTCGCACATGGTGGTCACTTTTCATGGCAGGCGCAAGGGAAACCTCATGTTTTGGTGCTCCAAAGTCGACTTTTCGTGACAGGTGCAAGGGATCGGAGCTGGTTTACTTCGAAATGCAGTTTTCGTGGCAGGTGCAGCACTTTGGACATGGTGGTGATCGTCGAATCGTGACTTTTGGACATGTGGCTCGTTTTGCAGATTTCGTGGCAGGCACAGCAGTCTGTGACCCTCGATGTGCAGATTTCGTGGCAGGTGCAGCACTTGGTGAACCTCAAAGTGCAGATTTCGTGGCAGGCGCAGCACTCTGTGAACCTCAAAGTGCAGATTTCGTGGCAGGCACAGCACTCTGTGACCCTCGATGTGCAGATTTCGTGGCAGGCACAGCACTTGATGAACCTCGAAGTGCAGATTTCATGGCAGGTACAGCGCTTGGTGAACCTCGAAGTGCAGATTTCGTGGCAGGCACAGCACTGTGAACCTCGAAGTGCGTATTTCGTGGCAGGCGCAGTACTTTGTGAACCTCGAAGTGCG